TTAGTTATTGAAATAATAATTTTAAAATTTTGAATAAAATTAAAGAATTAAAATATTTAATTATTTACATACCTTCATACGTTTATTGTGAAGAATAAAAAAATTGAGGATGCCAAATGCACAAACAACGCACTTCAAATTAATGATTACTGAGACCGAATTCTTGCGTTGTGAATACAAATCTTGCGTGTATGCATTATAATAGGAATAAGAGTAATTTTTTACTCTTTATATATAATAATTTTTACAATAATTAAATAGGCCCGCCTCAATTCCTATAAGTTATAGGACTATAACTCTATACGTAAACTTTTTAGAATTTTAAACCGACTTAATTTCTTTATACATAAATTACACCTACACTAATATAAAAATATAAATATAAAATAATAATTTTTTTTAAATAAAAGTGCCCCAAAATTTGGGGCAGAATGCACATATATACTATATACGTAACATTTGGGGCCCTCAAAATTTGGGGCCCTGTGCGCTTGCCCTGGCCAGACATGGCCAGGGACGGCCCTGGCAATCACTCTTCATCTTGATCTAGACGAAGAACCATGCTTGTCAGTGAAGAGCCATAGCCGAAAAATGGCCATGACTATTTGGATGAGAACGCTATTTCTGTATTATTAAACAACTAAAACACGGTATAAGAATATATACAAGGGATAGTAATAAAGAGATAGAATACAACTAGACGAGTCCAAACACTCCTCATCAAATGTGAGGGTACAACTGATAACTTGAAGCTTGTCACGAAAAAACACAAAATGAGTAGATGACAGAGGTTTTGGTGAAAATATCAGCGAGCTAATCCTTGGTTGAGATAAAGTTGACTTGAAGCTCGCCCTTAGCTGGCTTATCGCGAACAAAATGATAATTAATCTCAATGTGCTTGGTCCGAGCATGAAAAACTAGATTAACACACATGTATGTAGCTCTGAGATTATTGCACCACAACAAAGGAGTAGGCAGCACAGAAAACCCAAGCTCACGCAACAAGACATAATCCAAGTGACTTCAACAGAAACATAAACCAATACCTTATACTCAGCCTCAATGGATGATCTAGCAATAGTCTGTTCTTTCTTGCAAAGCCTAGAAACCAAATTCGACCCTAGAAACACAGCAAAACAACTCGTCGACTTGCGATCAGCCGGACACCCAACCTAGTAAGAATCAGAAAAGGCATGCAAGTCTGAATAAACACACCTGTGCAGCCGCAAACCATAATCCAAGGTGCCTTTGACATACCGTAAAATGCGCTTACACTGCGACCAATGAAAAGTAGTAGCCACATGCATATGCTGACACAATAAATTCATCGCATACTAGAGATCCGGTCTTGTTACAGTAAGGTACTAAAGAGCCTTGACCAGACTTCGCTACCGAGTAGGATTAGCGTATAGCTTAGACGAAGCATCAACCATATGAGTCACAAGGACCGACGCGGCTAATGGTTTGCAGTCAACCATACCAGTACACATCAAAATGTCACACATATATGTTTTTTTAGCACCAAACCACCATCTCGAGCAACAATTTAAATACCAAGGAAGAAACTGGGAGAAGCAAGGTGATGAAGCCATAAAGATCTGATGAATTGTTGATGAAGATCTGATGCAGAGCTATAGCAGTGAGCTTACCTTTCTCTATTAAGTGAAAGGGTTTTTTTGTCTTTTTACTCTCGGTTAGTTATAACCGTTTTTTTGTTCCTTATAAGAGCTTGTGTCAGCTCTTCTTCCCGCTTGTAACTTTTCATTATTTTCTGCTTCTATCACAACATGAGTACTCTCCTTTCATTCATCTTCTTCTAGCTTATCTTCATCATGTTCACTGCCAATCCATCATGGTATCAGAGCTCCGGCGAAGCTACGCAGCGGCAGTGACGATGAGCACCACCAGCAACAACAATCCCGTGGAGAATGTAGTTGGATCTTCAAGCCAGACAGCCATGAACCCTAATCAAAGGAGTGAAGAGTTCGATGATCCTCTGTACCTTCATGTAACAGAGAATCCGAACTGAGACCCTTGCTGTTGTGCGAATGTGTTCCAAGGTGCTCTTGCACCCTAGTGAGCAGAATGCAGAAGCAGAGAGAGAAGGATCAAATAATTCGTTTCCTGGAAGGCTTGAATGAGGAATATGAAGCCATCAAGTCAGGAGTGTTAGTCATGGATCCAATTCCAGAGATGGAGAAGGTTCTAAACATGACTTTGAAGGTTGAGAGGAAGATTAAAGGATCTCTCAGTCAGAAAACTGGTGATTTGGCACAATCTAATGCCATTCAGAACCAAGTGGAGGAGGAATCATCAATTGTGGCAGCTTCTGCTCTTAACAATAAGAAGAAGTTCACCAACAACATGGGGAGGACTGTACCTAGGTGCACCTTTTGTGATAAAACTGGACATACTACTGAGAAATGTTATAAGAAGCATGGATTCCCTCCTGGATAGTTGGCAGGCTATAAATCAAAGAATAGACAGACTCAAGGACCACAATAGGCTTCCAATGCTGCCATGAACCAAGTTGCAGACATAGGTATATCCACTGATCAATTGCAAAAACTGTTGTCTCTTTTGCAGAATCAAAATCAAACTACAAACACTGCTGCTGTGACTGTGACCACACCCAGGATCAGATCAGATTTTGGGGAGTCTCATGATGAAGGTAGAATTGCTTATTCTCAGATCAATACTGTCTTAAATTCTCAGAACATTTGGATTTTAGACTCAGGAGCAACAGATCATATTAGTTGCTCCTTAGACTACTTTGAAATGCATCACAGAATATGTGGAGTTTCTGTAAAGCTTCCAAATGGAGAAACAGTTAAGGTGACTCATGCAGGACAAATCAGACTTGATGAGAACCTTTTACTTCAGAATGTGTTGTTCATTCCCTCTTTTGCTTTCAACATTGTATCTGCCAGTAAATTGACTAGGCAGTCAGGTTGCAAGCTTGTCATGGAGGCTGATTTTTGTGCTATTCAGGGTCCCCATGGAATGGTGGATGGTTTTGCTGAGCAAAAGCATGGATTATACTTTATTAGTGCTCCTTGTGTGAGGAAAGAGGCTCAACATGTTGATGATGACATTGGAAAGCTGTGCAGTAGTGTGTCTATTCAAGTTTGGCATAATAGACTAGGGCATTACCCTGTTAACAAAATATCTCTGGTGAATGGAATAAAACCTGCTTTCATTAATAAACAATCTGATTTTGTTTGTGATGCTTGTCATCTTGGTAAGCATAAGAGGTCCATTTTTCCAATCAGTACTTCAAGAGCTGAGAAAATCATTGATTTATTGCATATGGATGTGTGGGGGCCTTTTTCTGTGGCCTCCCTGAAAGGGGAACACTACTTTCTTACTATTGTTGATGACTTTAGTAGGTTCACCTGGTTGCATATGTTAAGAAGCAAATCAGAAGTCAAGTCCAAGTTCCAAAGTTTCTACAACTATGTGTGTACTCAATTCTCTGTCAAAATCAAAACTGTGAGAACAGACAATGGAACTGAGTTCTCCATGGGGAGCTTCTTTGATGAGAAAGGCATTACACATCAGAAATCTTGTGTATATACACCTCAACAGAATGGGGTGGCAGAAAGAAAACATCAGCATGTTTTAAATGTGGCCAGAACTCTGAGGTTTCATTCTGGACTGTCCACTGTTTTTTGGGGTCATTGTGTGCTTCATGCTTCTTATCTTATCAATAAACTACCTAGTGAAGTGATTGGTGGAAAGACTCCTTTTGAGTTATTGACTGGAAAGCAGATTGATTATGGTCAGTTAAAATCCTTTGGTTGTTTATGTTTTGGTGCCACCATTGCTCAAGGGAGAACTAAGATGCAGCCCAGGGCAAGAAAGTGCATCTTCTTAGGCTTTCCTGCCAATATCAAAGGATATATATTGTATGACTTAGCTGACAAAAACATTTTCATATCAAGAGATGTTATTTTTTATGAGCAGATATATCCCATGAGAGCTCAGAACTTGGAGGATGTTCCCAAACAAAATGCAGAAGGATTTCTTAATCCACCAGTGCCATTAGTTCCTACTTCTGTCCATGTAGATCTCCCTGATCTTCCACACACTTTGAGACCTGTTAATCCTGATGATGGTCTCAGATATTCAGAAGGTGAAAGTGAACATTATGATGACAACAATAATAGACAACATAGTGAGATGGCTGGTGAGACAATTGATGATGAGGCAGAAAATGAGACAGTAGTTGGCAGATTTTCTCCACACAACTCTAACACTCAGTCACATCCCAGAAGATCAGTCAGGCAAAGGAAAATTCCTGCTAAGCTTCAAGACTATTGTTGTCACAACATAGAGACAAATAAACCAGGTTTGAGAACATCTCCACATCCTATAAGCAATTTTGTTTACTATGATCATTTGCCTGCCAATTATAGGAACTACATTGCATCAATAACTTCCACACATGAACCTCAGTTCTATAGTGAGGCTGTGCAGTTTGAACCTTGGAAAAAGGCCATGCAATCTGAGATTGAAGCCCTGGTCCACAATAATACATGGACTCTAGTAGATTTGCCTCAAGGAAAAGTGCCAATTGGCTGCAGATGGATTTATATAATAAAACACAGGGCTGATGGCTCCATAGAAAGATACAAAGCAAGACTTGTGGCAAGGGGCTATACTCAACAGTTGGGGGTAGACTACTTTGAAACTTTCTCACCTATTGCTAGAATGACCACCATTAAGACTTTTCTGGCAGTGGCCATCCTTAGAGGTTGGGATGTTCAACAACTTGACATCAATAATGCCTTCTTACATGGTGATTTAGATGAAGAAGTTTACATGGTTTTGCCTCCAGGATTTAAAGGTGATAAGCCTAATCAAGTTTGCAAGTTGTTAAGATCTCTATATGGTTTAAAATAGGCAAGCAGGCAATGGAATTTCAAGTTAACAAAGGCTTTGTTGAATGATGGTTTTCAGCAGTCACCAATCCCATTCAAATACAAGCATTAAAACAGATGTTAGATGCAGCTTTCAGAATAAAAGACCTTGGCAGATTGAGTTATTTTCTGGGACTTGAAGCTCTCAGAGTTCCCAGTGGTCTCTACTTATGCCAAAGAAAATACACTTTGGAGATCCTAGAAGAAAATGGTTTTTTGGATGCTAAACCAGCCAAGACCCCCTGTAATGCAGGCCAGAAGCTCACTAAGGATGAAGGCAAATTGATTGAAAAGCCTGAAATTTACAGAAAACTGATTGGGAAGCTTTTGTATTTAACCAATACAAGGCCTGACATTTCCTACTCTGTCCAACAACTAAGTCAATTTGTGGATGAACCCAAGGATACACACTTGAATGCAGCACATAGGGTGCTCAGATACCTCAAGGGATCACCAGGCAAAGGGTTATTCTATCCATCACAATCTCAGGCCAAGCTTCAAGGTTTCTCTGATTCTGATTGGGTAGCATGCACTGAGTCTAGAAAGTCTATCACAGGATTTTGTGTTTATCTGGGAAATTCTCTCATCTCATGGAAATCTAAGAAGCAAGTAACAGTTTCAAGGTCTTCCTCTGAAGCTGAGTATAGAGCTTTGGCCGCCACAGTTTGTGAAATCCAATGGCTCAAGTACCTGCTGGTAGACTTAAAATTTGATATCAGCAGTCCCATCACTCTCTTTTGTGACAATAAATCTGCTATTGCCATTGGGGAGAATCATGTTTTTCATGAGCGCACTAAGCATATTGAAATTGATTGCCATGTGGTGAAACAAAAAATCAGGGAAGGAGTTATTAAATTGATGAGTGTTCCCTCACATCAACAAGTAGCAGATGGCTTCACCAAAGCTTTGTCTAAGCCTTTGTTTGACATTTTCCATTCTAAGCTAGGCCTTCACGATGTTCACGCTCCAGCTTACGGGGGGGGGGGGGGGGGGGGGGGGGGTGATGAAGCCATAAATATCTGATGAATTGTTGATGAAGATCTGATGCAGAGCTATAGCAGTGAGCTTACCTTTCTCTATTAAGTGAAAGGGCTTTTTTGTCTTTTTACTCTCGGTTAGTTATAACCGTTTTTTTGTTCCTTATAAGAGCTTGTGTCAGCTTTTCTTCCCGCTTGTAACTTTTCATTATTTTCTGCTTCTATCACAACATGAGTACTCTCCTTTCGTTCATCTTCTTGTAGCTTATCTTCATCATGTTCACTGCCAATCCATCACAAGGTCACGAATCTTGAACATAGCAGATAACTTCAGAAGTAAACGTCAACCAGAGACTTATCACTACCCATAACCAGAATGCCATCAACATATACTAACAAATACACATGCAAGGCCGCCTGAGTATATATAAATAAGGAAACATCAGTCTTAGAAGCACGGAAACCAAAAGAAACCAGAAAATCATGTAACTTGGTGAACCACGCAAGAGGAGCCAACTTTAAACCATACAGAGAGCGTTGCAGTAAACACACATGCTCAGGGTAATTGACATCAGCATAGCTAGGAAGTTGACGCATGTACACAGTTTCATACAAATTACCATTCAAAAAGGCGTTATGCACATCAAGAAGTTCTTAATAGGTTAATTCATAATAATTTTGAACACGTTAAGATTAAACAATAATGTACGTATCGTAAAAAATTGTCAAGTCCAATTTTCCGTTGTCACACATGTAAATTGATTATTAACTTTCGAATTATACATTACACATTTAACAAACATTTGTATTCGACAATATGTATTTACGTGTATTAAATAAATTGAATGTGCTAACATGTCCCGTGTAACGATGTGTGTATGTTATGACGATATTCTTTCAGGTTGTTGAATTGGGTTGTATTTTTTTATTTTTATTTTTTGGTAGTTAACCGAAGTTTATTTCTATTTACTAATGTCCTAAAATCTAATTTGATGGCTATTTGTGCGTTTGGGTTGGTGACAAAAAGACGTCCACCCTCAAACTTTATTTTAATTATTATAATAATAATGATAATTGTATGGCAGCAAGTATAGAAGTCGGTGTCTGTTGTTGACTCAAACAAAAGTAAGAAGTAGAAAATGATAAAAATAAATAAACAAATAAATAAATAGAAGAAAATATCAAATGCTAGTCAACCACGGAAATAGAGATCAAGTTACATTGTGGAAAACTTTGTTCTTGTAAACTTAAATTCCGAATAAAATATTCCTCGTGCTTAATTGGTACCTACGTCTTTCATTAAAAAAATACATATTTTTCCAAATAAAACAATGAGTTATATTTATTTAATTATATTTCTAAAAATTTATAAAATTAATTATTCACTAATTTACCTACTAATAAAATCAATTTATAACCATTGGTTTTCTTGGTGGAACTGATAATCGATGATGGTTGTATAACTTAAATAGATTTATCTTCTTGTGATTTTTGCCGACTAGGATCACAAGACATGATTTACCTAATGCACATTCTCGTATAGTGACCGGTAAATTTTCATTATCACTATAAAAACATTAAATTATAACCAAAGTCGAACAACAAATTTTAATTATATATCTTTTAATGTAAATTAAAACTTGATATCTCATGAATTTCAGTTGAAGGAATTAGATATCGACTTTTATATATATATATATATATATATATATATATATACATATATACACACACACACACACACACACACACACACACATATATATATATATATATATATATATATATATATATATATATATATATATATATACACATATACATATACATATATATATATATATATATATATATATATATATATATATATATATATCAGTAAGATCGATCGATAAAGACAAACGTCAAATTAAAAAAGATATGAGAACGAGGATCAGCACAATACCGTATACTCGAACAGCAACCAAAACCCGATAACAGCCGCACTGATCTAGAAGCACAATTGATCAACCGACGAAGTCTTCCTCGCCTTCTCGGCGGGGCAAAAATCATGACAGAACTCAGATTAGAACAACATATTCGAGCGGGACACAGACTTGCTAACGGAGTTGTCGAAGTAATAAGGATCCATTAACATGTCACCACGGGTGAGAAATTAGCATTGCCGACGGCATAAGGATCCATTAGCATGTCCGGCGGCAGCCAAAACTTCGCACGTTTGCCGCTGCTTTGCTAAACAAATGCAAATCATCACATATGAACCAGTTGTTCTTGTTGTGCGTAACAACAAAATAAATACCTAGAAGGTAGTTTGCGATGCGTTGTTGTTTTGGGACAGGAAACCGGCAGCGTTATGTGTCGTGTTTGGCAACACTGTCTTAAAGATATTTAACGACCAAGGTATCGTTATATCTCCGACAGATAACACAGACGGGAAGAAATCAGTTTGAAAGAACTCAGGACGGTGTTTCTCGGGTATAGCTGTAAAGCCGTGACTTTGTGTAAATAACAATGTGAAATGCATTGCTATTTATAGCATTTCACATTCCATTATAACCAAGCCACAAAGATAGCTCACGCATGGTCCAACTGTACGAGAAATGTGCTTACCACATAATTCATTAGGACATATGTTCACCACATAATCCATTTGGATAATTATGCTTAGCACATGAGTCATTAACACGTGGCTGGAGCCTTGCCTTTGGATGTTTTCCCAACAATCCCCCACACATCCGAAGGTGTAAGGCTTGACGGAGAGTAATTAAGTGTAACAAATAAGAGCTAGCTTTCATGTCAGTGTGTTAAACTTGAACTGACAAGTAGTGGCACTAAGTAATCCACTATCCGAGAGTGAACAGAGTCTTGAACACTTCGGCTAGTTGAATTTTGAACTTATGTGCACCTCGTTAGCTGCATTCGTTGTACACTCTGTATAGTTATTGGATAACTATGTATTAACCCTGTTTTGTCTGTCTCAGCACAGACATTCCACTCCACTGAGTGTACTTCACCGTAGACTGCTAATCGAGAACTACGGCAAGCAGACTGATTTACAGTTTGCTTATAAATGCGAGTCTTTCCATGATTTTGTTTGACCACCGAGGTGGTATCCATCATGAATTTCTCACCTCATTGGCTTTTAAGCCCATCTCCCTTGATGTATCAAGGATAGCCTTTCGATTTAGGCCTTTCGTGAAAGGATCAGCTATATTCCTTTCAGATCTCACAAACTCCATTGTGATTACCCCATTCAGTATTAACTGCCGTACAGACTCATGTCTGACTCTAATGTGTCTTCTCTTTCCATTGTAGACACTATTTTGTGCTACAAAAATAGCAGTTTGAGAATCACAATGAATGGGCACGGCAGGAGCAGGACTCCCCCACAGTGGCACGTCTGCCAACAGATTTTTTAGCCATTCGGCCTCTTGGCTAGCTAGATCTAAAGCTATGAACTCTGCTTCCATAGTTGATCTGGCTATGCACGATTGTTTGGTTGATTTCCAAGACACTGCAGCCCCACATAGTGTGAACACATATCCACTTGTAGAGCTGACATCATCAATGTCGTTTACCCAATTTGCATCACAGAACCCTTCTAGCACAGCTGGGTATCCCTTGAAGTTGAGCCCCCAGTCTAACGTGCCTCTCAGATACCGGAGTATTCTTTTTAGCGCGTCTCAGTGTGGACCACTAGGGTTATGAGTGAAACGACTAAGTTTATTCACGGCAAATGCAATGTTGGGACGTGTATAGTTCATCAAGAACATTAGACTCCCACTTACTTTTGCATATTTCTCTTGAAACACACCTGACTCCATGTTCTTTATTAGTTTGACAATGGGATTGTAAGGAGTCTTAGCCGGAACAACATTATAACTGTCAAACTTCCTCAGAAGTTTTTCTGTGTAGTGACCTTGGGATAGAAGGTAACCTTCCTTGGTTTTATTGACCTTTATCCCGAGTATCACATCGGCTTCTCCTAGATCCTTCATTTCAAACTTTTGACATAGAGTTCGTTTGGTTTCATTTATAGCCTCAATACTTGAGCTAAAGATCAACACGTCATCCACATAGAGAGATATTATTACAACGCTAGATTAGACCTCTTTAGAGTACAAACAGGCATCTGACCGGTTAGTCGTGTAGCCTAAGTCCATTACAGTCTTGTGAAATTTTTCATTCCACTGCTTGGGGGCCTGTTTTAGACCATAAAGAGATCTTTTTAGTTTACATACCTTTCCTTCTTGCCCTGGATCAACACAACCAGGTGGTTGCTCCATGTAGATCTCTTCTTCTAGTTCACCATTGAGGAATGCCGTTTTTACGTCCATTTGGTGAACTATCCAGTTGTGTAAAGAAGCTAGTGCAAATAGAACTCGAATGGTTCCTACTTTTGTCACTGGTGAGTATGTGTAGAAGTAATCCTCACCGAATCTTTGTGTAAAGCCTTTGGCTACTAGCCTGGCTTTGAACCTTTCAATAGACCCCTCTGGTCTAAGTTTTCTTTTGAAGATCCACTTGCAGCCAATTGGCTTGCACCCGTTGGGTAGATCTACCAACTCCCAAGTGTGGTTGGACTTAATAGAGTCCAATTCACTTTTGATTGCTTCTTTCCACAGAATGGAGTCAACTGACTACATCGCTTCTTTAAACGTTTTTTGTTCTTCTTCCAAGACTAGTTGACACACAAACTGATCACACAGTTCGTTTAAGTCTTTTAGTTCTGTGACATATGTTATGAAGTCAGAACCAAAATTCTTCTCGATCCTGGGTCTTTTCCTTCTTCTGGGCTCATCCAAATCGTTAGTAATGCTAGAAAAAATGGCATTATCATTTTGATACAGAGTATCAACTGGTGAGACATAAGCATTTTTTAAAGGAAAGATATGTTCAAAGAATATTGCGTTTCTTGATTCACACATAGAACGGTTTTTCTAAACACATAAACCTATATGCTGCACTATTCTCGGCATATCCAACAAAAACGGCATCAAAGATTTTGGGTCCTACGTTGGACCTTTTCAGGGATGGTAGACCAACCTTAGCCAAGCATCCCCATACCTTAAAGTATTTCAGGTTCGGGGCGTGCCCTTTCCACATCTCATAAGGAGTTTTTTCGAACCCTTTATGTGGGACTCTATTTAAAATGTGGTTTGCCGTTAGAACAGCTTCCCCCCACATAGAGTCTGGTGCCCCTGAACTGATCAACATGGCGTTAATCATTTCTTTAAGGGTTCTATTTTTCCTTTCCGTGATGCCATTTTGTTGGGGAGAGTAAGGTGCAGTTACTTCATGGATTATACCCGAAGTTTCACATAAGGTTTTTAGCGAAAAGGATTCATATTATCCACCTCTGTCAGAACGAAGCCTCTTTATTTTCAAGTTTAATTGATTTTCTACCTTAGTTTTAAAAATCACAAACTTTTGTTCAGCTTCATCTTTTGATCTTAAGAGGTATAGTTTTGTAAAACGAGAATAGTCATCTATAAAGGTTATATAATACGGTTTTCCACCTTTACTTTCAGTGGTTTTAAAGTCCGCTAGATCAGAGTGAATCAATTCAAGCACAGGGGAAGATCGATGAGCTACAACAGAAAAAGATTTCCTAGCAAATTTTGCTTCAGCACAAGTTTCACATTGGGAGCATGCATCATTAGAAAAGTTTGACAACATGTTTAGGCTTTTTAATCTATTTTAGCACTTTGAGCCAATGTGTCCTAATTTACCATGCCACAAATTAACTGAAACAGTAATATAAGCCGAAGTAGAAGCATTATTCTTATTGATAGATTCTGATCCAATTACAGATATGTCTAACACAAATAATCCCCCCACAGATACTCTTTTCCGAGAAAAGTCCCACACCGAGTCATAACCAAGCGGTCTGACTCAAGGATAATTTTAATCCCGGCCTTTGATAGACATATTTTACACTCATATTTTAGGTACATCTTTATAATAATTTTGCATTAGTTATTTAATATTATCTTATAATTAGTTCTTTTTATATAATATATAATATATAATATATAATATATGTAATAAATAATATATATAAGAATACATACTACGTACTGTACTAGTATATTATGAATGTTTTAAGTATTATTTCATGCAAATCATTATTTGAACTCCTAGTATATTATAATATTATTTGAATGGTTTAGTCCAAATCATTGTAAACATATATCATGATTCTTTTCTTTTCCTTCGTACAGGCGAGCCAATAGGAAAGTATGAGCTATTCTCACGGTCTCACGGCATTTGATCGTTGCGGAGGAATTCAGACAAGAGGCACAAAAATAGGCAATGAATGGTAGGAAATAGTTTAGGTATTTTGGAAAGTGTATAAATAGTTGAAGTTTCCATTTGTAAAATGTTCATTCTTTATTCATTCTTCCCTTCTCGATTATCTTTAAAGTTGTTATCAATGTCCATTTGTTACTAATTTCTTTAACTTGGTTTAGTGAATTGAAGCCCCGGAATTGAATATGCTGTAAGATTATTTATTTATTTTTATTATATAATTTTTATGCATTTGGGTATTAAATATTCTTCTAAGTTATTTGAATAGTTGTATCATTTAATTGCTAGGGAGGCCTACTAGTTATTTACTTGATATAATTATTTGCTATATTAGATAATGTTGTGCTACAAATTATTCTAATATTCAGTAGCAGCTGGGGTTAATTATTGACGGCTTAGTGATAGTTGGACTCGGGTAAAATATTTTCCTAAATTAAATGCAACTGCTTGTGCTTGTTTATTTAGTTTGTTGGTTTTCCTAGTTCCTATTGCTGCTATTAAATTAAATCTATAGCGCTTGTCTTAGATTATTTAGTAGTTAGGGGTAATTAAACCGCGTGTGCTTTAGTTACCTACAACTAAGGGAAAACGGAAATGAAATAATTTCACAACAAATATTCAACTGCATATTAATTACTTTATGAATCAATGATCAGTGCTATATTCCGGTGGTGGATCTTTACTAACCAAGGTTTTCTATTATATGTGCTTTCAATATTTTGTTTTCATTACTTTATGCGTTTATTTACTTTGATTATCACTTTCATACCAAATCCCCCTTTCCTTTAATTTGAGCACATACATTAAACTAGTTACTCCTCGTGGGATCGACCCTTACTCCCGCTACTACGTTTGTAAGGTTTTAATTTGGGAGCCTACGACAGCTCACCAGCCTTATTCAGTAGGCCCTCGGAAATTAAGTTTCTACGCAGAGAGGGAACATACAACACATTGTTCAGTAATAGCTTCTTGCCAGAATTAAGCAGTAACTCTACTTTTCCTCTACCACTTACCTCAGAAATGCTGGAGTTGCCCATGAAGACTTGTTCTCCTCCAGTGACGGGCTCGAACACCTTGAAAAATGACTTGTTGTTGCAGAAGTGACGAGATGCCCCGGTGTCCACGACCCACTCGTCTGGGTCTCCGACCATGTTAATCTCAGTAATCACCGCTGCTACGACCTCGTCATCCTCCGTGGTTTCTACCACATTTGCTTGTTTTTTGGATCCGTCCTTCTCTGAATTTTTATTTGTGGACCCTTTGCAATGATAGCACTGTGCAGCTCGATGTCCACGTTTCCCACAAACATAGCACTCGTCGCCATTTCCCTTTTTCTGAATTTTTCCATTTTTTTGATGCGATTGTTGTTATTTTCGCATTCCTTTTTTTTATTTTTATTTTGATCACCTTTTTTATGCCTATCATCTTTTCCTGTAGTCTCAACAAAGTTAGCCTTTGAATTAAAAGAAAAGGATTCAGATTTTTGTATAGTGCGATTTTCCTCTTCAATGTTGATGCTACTGATAAGTTCTTGAAGGGCGTAGTTGCGTCGCTCGTGTTTCATTTTACTTTTGAAGTCTACCCACGACTCGGGCAACTTATCAACGAGTGCATCGCACAGGAATGCATCGTTGACTTTAGCACCTTCAAATCGCATATCAGAAACCATATTTTCGAAGTCATGTACCTGTTCTATCACGGTTTTGGATCCGGTCATCTGAAAATGCAGCCAACGTCCCACGACGTACTTCCTTCTACCGGTGTCATCGGAACCATACTTTTCTTG